AAGGCAATAAGAGCCGCAGTGTTTTGTGGCCGGCCCTCGTTGCCTCATCGCCAAGGTGTCTGCACCAACAACAACAACGGCAGGGTTGCGAAGTGTGCTGCATGCTTGCCTATCACGTATTTAACTTTTAATAGTACGCGTACGTCTGTGCGTACACTGCACATTGGGTGCGATAGGCTAGTGCTCTGGCATCTACACCTTTCTGGGTTCAAGGGCTGAAGCCCGCACTATTTTCTGGCTGACGAGCTCAGTGCGTATTGTCGGTGCTTTATTTGATAGTGTGATCGTGTGGTAGCTGAAAATCCGCATTGGTGTCACTGACAAGGTCATGCTTCTGTTGGGCGATGCAATAGTTTATCACTTGCTGCTTAGGCTATCGTGGATGGCCATTGCTCTCACGGTAGTGCGCAGCTGCCCCCCTAAACTCGAATCGAAAGTATACGCAATCGCTTCAGGGATAACAAACCTGGGCGCCGCATGCAGCAAGATGCTGAATGTTGTAGCGATTGAAATCGGTGATATTCAGATGAAGGAAACGGCGCCGTGGGGCTGCAACTTCCACACGTTTCCCAACTTGGTTCTCATCTCGCAGTGTCTGCTGCCCTGTGCATGCATTCCGCTCGCCTACTTCATTTTGCCCAAGGAGGCCCTCGCCTCGGCCGTGCCGCCGCACCAGCGAAGACGCAGCAAACGGCTTTCTAACTGCAGCAGCACTGATCAAGGTAGAACTCCTTGAAACCCACCTCAAGGCAGCCCCACAGCAGAACATCCCTGTGACGCAGCCTAGGAAAGGCTGGCATTGCAGGCATCTGTAGGAGGCGGCATGAGGACGTGGCGGCGGTGGCCGGAGATGCAGGGTCAAGGCCTCATTTTGTTGAGTTCTGAACAGGCAAGACAAAGAACCAATCGACGTGCAACAACCTATAGTTTCAGCGGATACTGGACAGAGAATCCTTTTGTGCTATTTTTTCCTTCAAAGAATGCCACCGGGTTTGCAGGAGTGTCGCAGGGGGCCCGCTGCTGGCTCTTTGGACGCCTGCGTGCTGTTTCGTGATTCTTTGCGTATCAGTGTTGTCGCAGCTGGGCTGGGGAAAGAAGCGAAAAGGGAGGATTGAGCCCTGCCTACAAGAACAACATCACCTGCATGCAACTGCATGCGTGCAACAGCTGCTCCTCGTGTGTGAAGTATGGTGGCTGCGCTTGGGTCCGCATGCTTTGGTATATGCGCTTCCGCGCCTCCCATTGCCGTCTTGAATGGCGTTGATTTCGTTCAGGGAGCGGCGCCGCTCTTCGTCGATCTGCTTTGGAGTTCAGTGCACTTGTGCCGTTTCCTTCGCTGGTTGCGATGAGGACTAGATTTTGTCTTGTGTGATAGCGGGGCTGATGATGTACATTTCCTTTATGCGTGGTATTCGGAAGCGGCAACTGGGATCCCGTAGAGAGGGCAGCTGCTGCTGCGTCAGCGCGGTGTTTCTGGTCGGCGTATGAGACGTAGTAGTGGCCCATCCATGCAAATGCATTGCACAGGGAATTCCCTTTTTTATGCATCCTTTGTATTTCTCAAGGCTCTCAGCATGATGAAACTTCGCTTTCCATTCGGCACTCCACACGTAGCGCACCCTCATTCTCTTTCCTGACTCCACTCAAATGGGCCAAGAGTGGAAACTTAGAAGATTTATCTAGAGTTTCAGTGTTTACTATTTAGTAGAGTTGTGGTTAGAGCAAGTGGCACATACTCATAAGATATCTGTAAAGGAGGAAAGAACGCGTTTCTTTGTAGCCGCAAGCACTGGGAATCTGCTGCATTAGAAGACAGAAACCCAAATACGCGGCGTGTATGAGAAGAGCAGGAAATAATATATTGCCACGAGATTGGTGAAATGCACGACGAGACCATCTTCTTGAATTTGCTTTCGTCTAAACGCGAGTGGAAGTGCGTTAGGGATCAGATGTCAGGCACATGTGCACCCTGAGGTTTGACAGCAGCTTAATAATCGTACCTCTGCATATATTTTGTTGTAATATGATTCGTAGTACCGCGTAAGGGTGTACAGATTCTACGAATTGATAATGAGAGAATTTCTTCAGGGTGAATCGTGCGCGGTCTCCATCTCAAGCTGTTGCGAGACAGCTGGCCTGTTGAATGCCGTCAGCGCCCCGGTCTGCCCTAAATCCCTTCCTCTGCCTTATGAACTACAGACGACTCTCTGGTGCTCCGCGACAGATCAGCAAGACTCGAGAAAGCCGGGTCTATGAGTTCAACTTTTACTTGCTAATCAGATGATAGTGGGCGAGCTGTCACAGCAGGAACAAACGAAATCAAAGGTGAGAAAAACGGAAAACGAAATAGAGAAACTACACAGGCTCTCTGTTCCCATAGCACTGCATTCCACCCTCATCCTTCCCTGCAACATATGTACATATATATATGTATTATATGTACGTATATAATATATATACATATATAATATTGTAGTGCATATGCAGTGCAGCTCGCGCAGTGTTTAAAGCGTTTCCAGGCTTTGACTTTACTTATTAGAGTTACTTACCCATTCAGAAGAAGCCCTCAGGATATTTCCTCTTTGCACATAGCAAAGACGCAAACAATGTAAAACTTGTGCAGTTCCTTGTATATGGTCGACGGTGAATGCGTACGTGAGTGATCGACTTGCATCTGCTGCATCTTTCTATCAGGTTCTATTTTCAGCTGTGGTGTGCGTAGTTCCACTGCTTCTGCTAGCAGCTAATCCAACGTTTATTAATTGCCTGCCGCGGTGCGCTGTACTGTAGCGCAGTGATGCTGCTCAGCACCGAGCGGCACCGCAGCAACAGCGAAAGACGCAAAGTGATTACCCTTAGCTTCACAGCCGTGTCAGTGGATAATTATCGCAGCGGAGCACGGAACAGCCGCTGGCTTTAGGGCTGCTGTTGGTGGAGACGCGACGACAGCTTCTCTGCTGATCCGTGGCAGGAATCCTGCTGCCACGGGGCAGGGACGCAGCCAAGGAGGGGATGCTCAAAGAACCCCAGCAGCTGCATATTTGCTATCCTTTTGCTTTGTCCCGTCATCTCAGTGTAGGCCTCAAGGCCACTGACACCAGACGCCGCCCTCAAGCCGCACGCAGCTCACCACGCTGCTTCTCTGTAGCTAGTAGGTTTGCTACTGCTGTGTCTTTATCTCTTCAGTCACTGCCAAAGGCGTCCTCTAACTGTCAAGCAGCAAGAAAGAAAACCCCGCACACAGCCGCCCCCACACTGACATCCATGCATGTCCGCTCCTCTTTACAGTATTAAAAATGACCTCGCTCACAGGCGCAGCCCATAAAGCATTGCTGACGACGACACATAGGCGTCAATTCCCTGACATGCAGCTGGCCCCAGCTACCTTCACCTAGCTGCCATTGGCTTGGCTTCCCTGTGGCTGGCTAGCATGGTCTGCTAAAGCGGATGCGAGGCGCACACAAGTGCATTGACTGTTGCCGCAGCTCTCTCCTTGCAGCGAGCATGGGGGGCACAACCTACGTTCTCTAATGCAAGACCAATGGAGGTTGGATGCTCTATCTGAAGTTCGTGCCGTACGCGCATTTACTGGCCTGCACGCTGGCTGCTGAGGGCCACGTGCCGTGTTAAGGGTTTCCTATTCTGCATTATCCTTGCATGCAGAAGAAAGGGCCTTTGCTCCATTTGCATTTGGGGTTGCCTTGCAGCAGGAGTTGCAGCGAGGAGTGCAGCAACTGCAAGCAGGTCTCCCCCTTTCCTCACCTTCAGCGCCATTCCGCCATTCATTCCTTCCTACCGCTGCGCTCAGCAAGCAAAGAGGCTCTAAGACAGGTGATCACCTGCCTTTTAAAACCTCATCTTAATTACTTTAACTCGACTGCTTCTTTTAATACTAGGCTAAGATGGAGGACCCGCGTTGCTGAATTATTGAATCACTTTGCCGCGCCATCCCGCCACTGTGCCAACGAGAGTGTTCTTCTTATCCGAGTTTCAGTGCAGTCAAAAGAGTTAAAATAAGCTCCACGAAGTGCACTGCAGTCCTCTGCAACCTCAAGGCGTTCTGGGCACAGCGGTCCAAACGCATGGGCGTCATGGTGCTAGGAGGAGGCGACGAGTATAACCAGTTGCTGCACACCTTGCTGCTCCTCCTGCTGCAAGTGAACCCCAGACGCAAACATGCTTATTCCCCCTCTTGACGCATTCAAAAACAGTCACGAGAATTGTTGTTAAACCCTTGCTTCTTGGCCCTGAGCAGCCAACCAACCGCGCCAGTAGAACAAAATATACCAACCGCTCCAGACTGACCACGCAGCAACCACCGTGTGCACTCTCTACAGATTGTTTTATTCCCTTCCCTGTTAATTGGTTCCCTTCTAAGACCAGGCAAGCAGCAAGCATTCACCTAGTAAACGTGAGGCGGCAAAATAAAGGAATCACACCCTTGGGAGCGCTGGCGGCGCTGCGCGTGCCCTGCTGCCCATCCAACCGTGTGTTCACCATCAGGGGGCAGCTGCACTTCAAAAGTACTCTAACTAGTATGCACGCAACCCTAATATGTTGGCAATGAGCCTTAGGCCTTCTTGCACTGCAGCGTGACTCGTTGGAAAGAGGCCCCCAACATGGGGCATAACACCGCCGGCATGGTAATGCGTTGAAGAACCACAACTGCGCCTTCGCCAGCTTGTCGAATTTCTTGTTTTGTTGCTTCTAGGGTTTAGGGGGTGGGGCTTGGTGTTCGCTGCTCGCTGCCTGACAGATGGGTTTGTATGGACCTGATCCACTCTTCATCGTCTTCTCTCCAAGGGCCCCACTGGGCTGCAGTGAACTTTGTCACGGAGTCCGGTGTACACAGCAGCGCTTTCTTCAGGCCAAGCACCATCAGCATTGGAGCCCGCTGGCTTCTTCTGTAATACTCCAAAGCGGCGTGCAACGTGCGGGCGACATCTACATTGTTGTACTTTTGCCTCTGCGTACTTAACTTGTGGGGAACAAACCTTGCTTCACGTATGTGGAGGAGTACAAGTGGCCACCAAGAATGCTTCAATGCCCTTTCCCCAAGCACTTCTGCCGCACAATATAGCGTATCAAGAACCAGAAATATCATTCCCATGATCTCTATCGCGCACTTGGCCTGGCAGCGTTTGTAGGCCACGGGCATATTTCTGATTGCAAATGCACAGAGGGCCTCTGCATTAGACAAAAGCTCGTTGAGATCTGACGGGGCAAGTGCATCCTTCTTCAGTATTTTTCTGCACTTATTGAGTGCATTAACTGCAAACCTTTGGGTTGTAGACAACGTCAAGGCTAATTCCATATCAAAGCTTCTTGAGTTCACTGTCTTCTTATTTACAGATGTCTCTTGGATTGGAGGAACGCGATAATATGGATGGGACTTCAAAAGCTCCGGAGGAACCCCCGGAAAGACATGCGTGAGCCAACCGAAATATAGTAGGAAGTCCCCATCAGAAGGCGGCACCGACGCTGTTGCTGGCTGAAGAAAGCATAGCAAAAACAGCAGCAGAAAAGGCGCCAGCAGTAGCAGCAGCAGAAGCACCCACTACAACGAAAACACTATTCAATCCTGATTACTGCACTTCATCAGCTGATCTCAGCAACCATATGCACGCATGGACACATAAGCACGCACACACCAGGCAGTTGAAAACGACAGATAGAGGCGACTGCTGCAGCAAGTACAGGAAGCATCGAGTAGTGGCGTCTAGTCTATGCATGCATGCATGCACATTTTGCATGTAGCAGCTCCAACCTGTTGAGATGGTGCGCGTTGCTGACGCAAGATGGTAACAGCAGGCAGCAGCAGCCGCGAGGCAGAAGCAGGGGCCCCAGAGGAAAATGAGGGCAGTATGATTGCTGCTGGCTGCTTAAGGATAATTAATCTTTTTGCAGGAGCAAGAGATGAAGCTGCTTCCAAGTAGCTAGACAGCTCCCGTTTCCTCTGCTGGTGTGAATCAGGCGTCGGAGGCGCGGTAGGAGCCACCGATTGAGGCGTCACAGCAGCATTCACATGTTGAGGCGCTGCAGCAGCCACCGGTTGAGGGCCTATAGCAGCCACCGGATGGGGCGTTGCAGCAGCCACCGATTGAGACGCTGCAACAGCCGCCGGTTGAGGGTCTGCATCAGCCACCCGTTGGGGCCCTTTAGTAGCAGCCACCACTTGAGGCGCTTCAGCAGCATCCACCACTTGAAGCTCTTCAGGAGCAGCCACCACTTGTTGCGCTGCAGCAACAGCCACCACTTGAGGCGCTGCAGCAACTACCGGTTGTACCTGTAAATCCGGAAAAGCAAGACACGGATGCAGAGTTTGAATATGTCAGCATCCCCTAACAGAAGGGCCTTGTCTAATAAACTCAGAAGCTCACCTTCGCGGCAGCAAAGGAAGCCTCAGTGAAGGGAAGAGGACCTGAAACGTCGGCAGCTGAGCCACGTGGTATATTTTGGGGGGCTGAGGGGCCTGCGGTTGGCTGCTGCGTTTTTCTGCTTCTCTCTTTTTGGTTTTCCCTAAGGTCGTCTGGTCCGTGAGAGGAAACTGAGAGTTGGTCATACATCGTACCCCATGCCTGCGCCAAGCCAGCGGCGCCTCGTGATGTGGAAGGCCGCGAACCAACAGACAGATCAAGTGGTTCAGAGTTCTGTGGTTCGTATTCTGGCAGCCAGGTCGATTCAGCAAGGGGATCTTCGCTGCCAAGCAACACGGCGTCAATAAAAGCATCCAAGTCAGGGTCGAGAGGGGGGGCAGGCTGTAGCGGGCCTTCTTGAAGCGGCATCTCAAGTATAAGCTTTTTTGCCCAATCCCCCTCATTAAATGGATCTTGGCCTCCCCTCTTCAGATCTGCGCTCATCCCGTCTTTCGTTACCCGTTCAGCGGTTGCTCTCAGGAAAGCTTGAACTGCCGCACCGGCGGTCACATCTACTACAGAAGCATACTCGGCATCTGCTAATAGTTCGTCCACCGGCGTAAGACCAGCGAACAACTGAACTCCGGCATCTTGTAAGCCCTGTTGCTGTTCTGAGGATGCACTTGCGCTGGATTCTGAGCTACTTGAACCGGATTCCTCGCATTTTTCGCGCCCCCAGCTAACGGCCAGCCTGCGGGCGAAGGAAGGGCGTGTAATTCTTTTTCTCATCAACAAACTGCACAGGTAGACAAGGAATATCATAGCAGAAACGGCAAAAAGTGATACAAGCAGCAACGGGATCCTTGACTGGCGTGCCGTTGTGGAGGGCCTGGGCCACTTCCGTGGCACTCCATCTCGATGCGTGGTGTCTTGTGGCTTTAGAAGGGAAGCAGGAAGAGGAGAGTCAGGAGGAGAAGAATACCCAAAAGGGGGGTCTCTCCAACCTGCAAAACCGGAACCATGAAGTATATTATCGCTCATCAGCGACCGTCAGTAAGACGAATCGAGGAAACTCATGTTGACCAGCCGCCGATGTATTCAGGGAAACGGGCGCTTTCCCGCACAGGAGCTGAAAATTCGTAAAAAAGCAAAGAAACAATGAGAGAAGTTCATTCAAGTCAGCAACAAGGATGCTAAACGAAAACGGCTTCTACGTGCCACTAAGGCGACAAGTCCATTCGATGCTTCTTCCCAAAGTGACAGGAACTCCAAGGAATGAAACTCCAACTTCGAAGGGAAAATTAAATATTTCTCTCTATAAAATAAATAAGAAATATGCAAGATATACTTATTGACCTTCTTTCAACTTGATTCAACCACCCCCCAAGGGATTCCGAAAACACCGGCCGTTCAGCGGATTCCACTCGGCAGGTTCCAATTCATCGCCTCCGACAACACTGAAGGATCCGCAGGCAGAAAATAGAATTTTTTAAATAGTGAATTAATATTCTTCGTTTTATCGTATAATGCTCAAATATACGAGGAAAGCTGCTCTATGCCGCTGCCAGACAATGTGGGAAGATCGAAAGCAAAGGCGCAAGAACCTGGAGCCGATGGAACTGCCAAATTTCTCAAACTCTCGCTTGCTTCAGAGCTTCCTTTTAATGCGGAAAACAAACTGCAAAGCTGTCCCAATGTTGAACATACAAACACAAGGCCAAAGGCACACCTTCATGAGGCTCTCCTGAAAACCGTGCGTCGCACGGTTTGCTCAGTTGGTATTACATGAATTTCTACAGACATGCAGGCTGGCCTGAGCTTCAACGAAGTGTTCAACAACTTTCGACAGTGCTACTGATAACACCGAAAGTGCAGTTGCGTACGCCTGCAGATAGTGATGCGTCGCTGTAGCATGGTCTGTACCAAGTTCCAACACTTAAGCAGAAGTACAGCAATTCTCTACAGCGATACTACAGACCGCAGAAAGGGATTTGATCGTGCTTGCACGTTAAGGCTCCTCGACGTGTTAGTTGAAACGAGGTCTGGTGCAACTCGTCTCAAGCCCTCTCCTCCCACCGGCCCAATTATTCATTATTAACAGTTGCGACCCCCAACAGCCTTCTGAAAAGCGTCATTACTGACAGGGATTCGAAGTTTTTCAGCACTTTGTGGAGTGGTTGCATGAGGCAGATCAGTATCGGCCGCAAGATGAACGCCATCAACCACCTTGAGGCAGACGGTCAAACTGGGAGCTGCATAGGCTGCTCTCAGTTCCTCCTCATCCACCTTTCCAATTTCGGTGTTATTTCTGTATTTTTCAAGATTCCTTCCCAATGCCCCTTCTATTGGGGCGGTCTCCTCAATCCTTTGTTCGTCCACAGCAACAAAGTAGCCAGAAATTGCAAGTCCAGCAGCATTATCTACACCCAAAACAACAGGAGCAACAGGGACGGCACAGATAAGATAGGAGGCAGCACGATCAGCGACTACTCGATTAGCAGCAACCAGACCTAGACTTGCAACGGGTGGAAATGCTGCTGCACCTGCTGTTGCAGGCCTGTCGCGGCCACGCAAAGAAGCGGTAGAAGTACAGAAAATGCGGAAGGGTTCGCAGGGGAGGGTTCATGAGCTGAGAACGCTCCTACGCTTGCAGAAGAAGCCGCAGGAGTGTGTGCAGGGGCACAAGAAAACACCTCCTCCAAGACATACAGGAACTGGCACAATCGCAGAGGGAACCTGCTGCCGCTACGGCGCTCCCCGGATCTGTTGCAAAAACACGAGAAACACTTACGACTCAAATACGAAAACGGAAGCCGGCAAACAAGCAAACGTAGAAGCAAGAAAGAGCCAATAGCAATAGCTGGGGATAATACACATAAAAATCATATTCAAGAATGAAGATTCTAGCGCAACACTCCCCGACTCTAGCTTCGTCCTTGGGCACTCTGGACACCAAACGTTCTGGGTGCGACTGAATGGCTAATACAGCGATTCAGGCTCCGCTACCCTCCTTCCTAGATTCAGCATCAGCAGATGCAGCAGCAGCACTTATAGCAATGGCACGAGCACCCGCAACAGAAGCATCACTAGTTTGAAACGATCACCAGGAGCGGCAGCCTGAGCAACACGAAGAACAGCAGCACCAGAAGCTGCAGCCTGGGTCGCAGGTCCTTCGGCAGCGACAAAGATCGCAGCCTGGGCTACAGGAGGGGGCAGCACTGGCAGCAGAAACAACACACGCTGCAGCAGCCCTATGCGCGACAGGGACCTTCTCCTCGGCAATCTCATGCCTTGCGGAACTAGTCGACACACGAGATTGTGTGCTGCTTAGCACTTGGCGGAGAGGGAAAAAAAGCTGCGCGAAGGCTTATCGGAATTCGGTGTTTTGCTTCAACTTGGGTGTAGGTTGGATCGTGAAGGAAAAGGAACTGTTTAACATTGGTCTACAATGGTGCTGTCTGCAAAATAAAGGTGTTTGGGTATACACGCAGGTGGGGTTGGCTCGCAGCAGAAGAAGCTGCTGCGCGTTGTGCTGCAACTCTTCACGGGCCGCTTCCTTTCCTTAGCACCAACAGTTTCCAGTTCATCGTGCATCTGTGCTGGCTACTGTAAGGGAGGTCAGCTGCTGCTGCAGCTGCAGTCGCTGCTGCTGTACAGATTTCTCCTATGCTGACCAATATGCTAATAAGTAGAAAACACCCCAAATAACTTGGTCTGGTGAATGCTTCAGATACACCCGAAGCAGAGGCGTCGCAAGCAGCAGAACATCGCCTTTTTAACTAGAGCCGGCGACATCCCTGCAGCCCTTGACGAGCTTCAATCAATCCAGAGTAACTAGTTATTTATCAAAGCATACCTAATTAAAAAGGGCTCCTTCACAGCAGCTTATCCCCCCTTTCATCCGTGTCTAGCCTAGCCGCTGTAGGCACAGCAGCTTAAAGGCCTGGGGCTGCTGGAGAAGAAGCTGCAGATGTGTGTTTAGCCCCAATAATAAAATGCTGCAGTACAACTCTGCATGCAAGCACTACAGGAGCCCCTTCTGCCTCCCGTACGAACACCGCAGACAGTTATTATGCTTCTTCTTGCATGCAGACTGAATGCTGAGAGCTCGAGTACGAAAGTGTTTGTGTACTGGTAAGTAAGCTACTTCTGCTAGGCGTGTAGCTAGTTGATTGCTTACGTTGTTTGGCGTTCAAACCCAGTTAAATAGAGTGAAATGTGAGCCCTCCTTGTCTTTATTAATCCTAATTTTAATTCTAATTAAACTTGTCTACACATACAACAAACAAAGGAGCCCTCATCGGCGACGAGCTGCTGTACATAGAGTGCCTGGCGGTGCGAAGAGCAGCAGCAGACTGTTGATGAAAGGAAATGCATAATTTTAGATATTGTTCTGTTTATTTCTACAGATAAATTCATTAAACATTTAAACAAAACACAACACCGGCGTTTCCTCCCCCAAACACCCACACCAGGGGCAGCAGCGCAGCACGCCGCTACCCGTGCAGCAGCAACAACAGCAGCAGCAGCAGCAGCAGCACCAGCTACTGCTGCGGCATCGCGTTGCTGCTGTTACGGTGGAGAAAGGAAGCAAATAAACTTTTTGGGTTTTGTTCGGTTTTCCTCATCTCTTGTTTTGTTGAGCTGCTGCAGCAGCCGCTGCAGCCAGCAGCAGCCAGCTAGGGCCTGAGCGCTAGTAGCGCTCCTGCAGCAGCAGCAGTTTGGCGGTGGGCAGCAGCAGCAGCAACAGCAGCAACAGAAGGAGTTGCTGCTGTAGTCTCTGCGAGATACCAAACAACAGAAACAGCAACACCAACAGCAGCAGCAGCCGCAGCAGCAGCAGCAGCAGCAGCAGCAGCAGTTGCTCATAACGTAGGGTGGTGTAGAGGCCACTGCAGGGGGCCTCGTGAATTGCTGCGGCTGAGGCTCGTGCTGCTGGTGCTGCTGGCGCTATTGTTGCTGCAGCAGCTGCAGCCGCTGCAGCCGCTGCAGCCGCTGCAGCTGCTGCAGCCGCTGCAGCTGGCGCAGGCCGATGAGTGCTGAGGTGTACATACACCCGGCAGCACGGGATGTGTCTCTCAGCACTGCACTCTGCAGCAGAACGTTCAAATGGAGGATTCACGAGAGAAACGTCGCGATGTCTCCTGGCTGCCCCTCTCCTTCTCAATACGGGGCGGCAGCCTCTTTTCCAAAGTAGGACTTAGGGTTTAGGGTTTAGGGTTTAGAGTTTGGGGTGTTGGGTTTAGGGTTTAGGGTTTAGGGTTTAGAGTTTGGGGTGTTGGGTTTAGGGTTTAGGGTTTAGGGTTTAGAGTTTGGGGTGTTGGGTTTAGGGTTTAGAGTTTAGGGTTTAGAGTTTGGGGTGTTGGGTTTAGGGTTTAGGGTTTAGAGATTGGGGTTGGGGGAGTGGTTTGTACGGTTTCGGGTTTAGGGTTTGGTGAGGCCTAGGGTTTAGGGTTTAGGGCTGGGGGATAATAGCATACAACGCCAGAAGAACTACTTCTTACATCCAGCCTCCCGTTGATCAAATGTTTGCTGCTGTTGCTGTTGCTGTTGCTGCTGCAGCTGCAGCTGCAAATGCCGGCGAAGAGCGACTGGCAAGCCCTGCGCAACGCGAAGGAGCTCCTTCGGTAAGCCCTAGACCTCAAACCCTAAACCCTAAACCCTAAACCCTAGAGCGTAGATACATAAAGAAGCAGGTTTTCTGTTTTGTTTTCTTGCAGCTGCGAGATGAGGGCTTGGAGGACATATGGGGTGTATAGGCAGCTAGATTTACTGCGCCAGGGACAGGCGAATGAAAAGGGAGAGAGATCTGCTGCTTCTTCTGCTCTGTCTGCTGCTGCTCGCTGCTGCTGCTGCTGCTGCTGCCTCGAGCCGACCACGGGGGCGAGCGATCTGCTGCTTCGTAAAGGTGCTGCTGCACCAAGCGGTGCCAGCTGCTGCAGCACGCAGAGTTGCTGCTGCAGCGACAGCAGCAGCTGCAGCAGCAGCTCCTGCTGCAGCGATCATGGCTTTGGGGGGCTGCGCTTTGCTACTGCTGGGAACGAAGCAAACTTAGGAGACAGCCGCAGGCGCCGGCGTCGCCGTCGCAGCAGCAGCAGCAGCAGCAGCAGCAGCAACAACAACAATGGCTTGCGGCTGGAGACGGAGAGCGACTGCAGCTGCAGCAGCAGTAGCAGCAGCAGCAGCAACGCTTCGTGTGGAAGCAGCAGCAAAGTGGCAGCAAAAGGTGTAACAGCAGATCTGCCCTATCTCTCTCCTGCTGCTGCGTCTCCTCTGTGTACATATAAGAATTTATTTCCTGCTTACTTATTCTCCCCTCATTCTGCTGCAGTGCCTGCAGCCTTCTTCAGCAGCAGCAGCAACAGCAGCAGCAGCAGCAGCAAGAACGGAGGCAGCAGCAGCAGCAGCAGGAGCGGCGGCTGCAGCGGTTCTAGCGGCAAGGGCAACAGCACAAACAGCAGCAGCAACAGCAGCAGCAGCAGCAGAAACAGCAACAGCAACAACAACAACAGGAGCAACGGCGACAGCAACGGTAGCAGCAACAACAACAACAGCAGCAACGACGGCAACAACAACAGCAGCAGCAGTAGCAGCAGCAGCAGCAGCAGCAGCAGCGGAGCGGTTGAGGAGGAGTGCAGACTGCCGCTGTCCCCGGTGCAGTTGCTGCAGTGTATGCTGGCTGATGCTGCAGCAGTGAGCAGAGAGACAAATTATTAGTTTAATTATAAAAAAGAAATAGAAGGAGACAAAGGAGACAGCAAGATGCGAATAGAGATTAAAATATGAAGGAGACAGAGCACAGGAGACAGAAAATAGAGTCAAGAGAGGGGGTCTAATAAGGGAGACAAATATATATATATATATATAGATAGATAGATAGATAGATAGATAGATAGATTAGACCAAGTGCATATATATATATATATATATATATATATATATATATATATATATAGAGAGAGAGAGAGAGAGAGAGAGAGAGAGACAGAGACAGAGACAGAGACAGAGACAGAGAGAGACAGAGACAGAGAGACAGCAAAAAGGAGACGGAAAAATGAGACAAGAAAGGAGACAGTAGAAAAGAGAGATAGAGAAGAGACACTGAGATATTTAGTGCAAACCCACAAAAGGCACCGCTACTGCTGCTGCTGTTGCTTCTGCTGCTGTTGCTTCTGCTGCTGCTGCTGCTGCTGCTGCTGCTGCTGCTGAATGTTGTATGTGTTGCGGTGTGGGGTGTTGGGGTGTATGTACACAGGCGACAATCCAGCGTTTTATTCGGGGATATTTCGCTCGTCTGCGTTTTGCTGCTGCTTTGGTGTGGCGGCGGGGTGTGCAGCAGCAGCAGCAGCAGCAGCAGGAGCAACAGCAGCGGCAGCAGCAAGCAGCAACTCTTATTCAGAGCAGCTGGAGACGCTTTCAGGCTCGAGAAGAACTACAAAGAAGAAAAATAAAAGCAGCACTAGCGCCCCGAAGAGAAAAAGCAGCAAAAATTATACAAAAGGCGTGGAGAGACAAAATGCAGCAAATTAATATGCAGACAGAAAAGCTAGTAAGGCGGAGGAGACAAATTAATTAATTAATCAAATTAATAATTATTCAAAGGAGACAGAGTAATTAATAAAATTAATTAGCAAAAGGAGACAGATTGAGGGAGACAAGTTAATTAGTCAAAGGAGACAGACTAGTTAATAGAATTGATTAATAATAGGAGACGAATTAATTAATGAGAGGAGACAAATTGATTAATAAAAGAAGACAAATTGACTAATAGAAAGAGATATATTCTTTATTAGAAGAAGATATATTATTTAATAAAAGGAGACATTTCAATGAAGGAAAGGAGACACCTTTATTTCTAGAGCGAGGGTGGAAGCAGTCAATGAAGCACTGAACATCTATGATATACAAATTGATTAATTTATTATAAATATATATATTTATATAATTATTTTATCCTTTTCTTTTTGCTTGCTCTCAGGTTTGCTGCTTGCTCGGGGTGCGCTTTGCTGCTGCTGTTGAAATTCAAAGAATATGGAGAGGAGCAAAGACGAGGAGAGTAATGGATGAAGAATGGGACCAGTGGACCATCAAGTGGACCTGGGACAAGCCTAATGCTGTTGTAGAGGTAATTAATTAATTTAATAATAATAATAATAATAATAATAATGAGCGTAATAATAGTTATAATCTCATTATTATCAGTGTTTGTCCTATTTGCTTGCTTTTTATCGATGCTTTTATCAATGAATGACCAGTGGACCATTAACTGGATCTAGGATAAACCTGATGCTGTTGTAGAGGTAATTTTAATTAAATGTTTAGTTTATTATTGTTATTATTCTTATTGTCATTATTATTACTCCTATTATTACTATTATCACTGCTAATTTATTTGTTTGCTTTTTATTTTTATTCTTTTTTTGTTTTTTTATCGATGGTTTTATCAATGAATGAACGGTGAACCATCGACTGGAGCTGAGTAAAGGCAGTGTTGTTGTAATATAGTTAAATAATAATAATATTTTATTATTGTTGATGTTTATTTTATTGTTAGGACTAATTTATTTATTAGTTTGTTTTTTATTTATCTTTTTTCTACCAGTGGACCACTGACTGCAATTGCAGTACACTCAGTGTTGTTGTTGAGGTAGTTTAATTGAATAATAAGATTTTTATTAATATTTCTTTTCTTACTTATCTTCTTATTCTTCTCTTTTTCTGTTTTATTATTCTTCTCTTCTTGCTGCTGTTATTGCTGACCAGTGGACCACTAAGAGGGTTTTTCTATTGGAGTTGTTTTAAGCTGTATTATGATAGTATTCTTATTATGTTTCTTGCATTGTATATATTAAATTAATAATATAAAGAATAATAATATGCCCAATGCCTTAGTATTTCTCTTGATGTTTACTTTATGTTGTTGCTGCGGATATTATTATTTGTTTAAATGTTCATTCATAAACAAACCTCTTTATTTCTGTTGTTGTTTATCTTTTTTATTTCTGGCGTTACCATTACTAGCCGATTTTAGTTGCGATCGTCTTTATTATTACTAATTCAGGGTTTAGGGTTTAGGGTTTGTTGTTAGGATTTCGGCTTTGGCGTTAAGGGCTTGGTGCCTAGGGTAGAGAGTTTAGGGTTTAGGGTTTAGGGTTTAGGGTTTAGGGTTTGGGGTTTGCTTGCAGGTCGTGGGGGACTTTTCTTCGCCTCCATGGACGAAAAGGCATTTGATGACATACTGCCACATCCGGGAGTAGGTTGTTGAGGGTTTAGGGTTTAGGGTTTAGGGTTTGTGCATCAGCAAGATGAGTCTGCGGCTCTCCCCCTCTAAACCCTCTCTAAATACTTTTTAGTCTCTCGCCAAACCCTGTCTAAACCCTTTCTATTCCCGCCCTATAAACCCTATATAAACCCTTTCTTTAAACCCTCTCTAAACCCTTCTTTAGCCCTCTGTAAACCCTCGATAAACCCTATATAAACCCTTTCTTTAAACCCTCGCTAAACCCTTTATAAACCGTCACTTTAAACCCTTTATAAACCCTCAATAGCCAGCCAGCCAGCTTTAAACATTGTAAACCGCTGTCTAAACCCTGACAAGCCCCTGTTCAGACGCCTGCATGCATCTGTAAACCCTTTTGATTAATTGTTAATATGCTCTTATTAGAGGCCGTTATATACTCTGTTTTACTTTGTTTGTTTTCTGGTGTACGTGCAGCTGCTTCGTCTTAACTCTCCCTCGATGCCCCGGTAGACACGAATTAAAATTCATAGTCAACGGGAAATATGTTTGTGATGGAAGCCAAACAGTAATTGCTGTGAGTGTTATTCTTTTTTAGTTTTGTCTTAGTCAAGTCTGCTGCTGTCTCCGCCTTCTGTCTGTCTCTCTATGCCTTTTATTATTGTCTCCGCTGGGTGTGGGGTCTCTGTCTCTGTCTCTGTCTCTGTGTCTCTGTCTCTGTCTCTGTCTCTGTCTCTTTCTTCCTTTTTCTGTCTCTGTCTGCCTTTTTCTGTCTCTATTTAGCTGTCTCCTTTTGTCTTTTGTTTTTCTGTCTTTGTCTCTCGTTTAGTTTATCTTGCTTATCTCTAATCTTTTTTCTGTCTCTTTATGCTGCCCGTCTTATTGCCTCCGCTGGGTTGGGGGGTGTTGTCTCTCTTTGTCTCTGTCTCTCTGTCTCCTTCTCTTTCTTTCTCTCTTTATTTAGCTGTCTCCTTTTGTCTTTCTTTTTTCTGTCTCTTTTTACCTCCTGATTGTATTTCCCTTAGCTGTCTCTTCTTCTGTCTGTCTCTGTTATTTTTAATTATCTTCGTCTGCTGCTGCTGCCTCTACCTGTCTCTTCTGCTCTTCTGTCTCTTTCTTTCTTCTATTTATCTTTCTATGTTTTTGTCTTTTCTTCTGTCTCTCTTTAATTCGCTTTGCTTGGGGGTCTTGTCTCTCTCTCTCTCTCTGTCTCTCTCTCTGTCTTTCTGTCTCCTTTTATGTCTCTCTTTATGTTTTTTCTTCTGTCTCTCTATCTCTTTTTACTTCTCTTTGTTGTAGGTTTATATTTACAGCTGTCTCCTTTTGTCTTTCTTTCTGTCTCTTTTTAATTTTATATGTTTATAATTCTTTTCTCCATCTTTGTTTGCTGTCTCTCTTCTTATCTGTCTCTCTGTCTCTCTGGCTTCTCCGTTGCTTTCCTTCTCTTTGTTTCTTTTGCTTTATTTATTTAATTTAATTTAATTAATTAATTAATTAATTTATTTATTTATTATTTTTTATTTTATTCTCAGGACGGTAGTGGACACTTCAACAATTTAATTCGCGTCCGCCCCGCAGCTCCATCGCAAAGTCAGCCGCTTAAAGAAAATATATATATTTTTATTTTTATTTTGTCTCCTTTGTCTTATTTTTATCTTTATTCTGTCTCCTTTATCTTATTCTTCTTGTCTTTTATTCTGTCTCCTTTATCTTATTCTTTTATTCTGTCTCTTTTATCTGACATTTCTTTTATTTTTGTTTCGTCTCCTTTAATCTGCTGTCTCCTTTATCTTACTCTTTTCTTTTATTCTGTCTCCTTTTGTCTCCTTTCTGTTGTCTACTGTTGTCTTTGTTCTTTTGCTGTCTCTTCTATCTGTTTTTCTTTTGCTGCCTCTCTCTTTGCTGTCGTGCTGCCGTCTCTCTTATCTTTTTTTTTACTTTGTGTGGTTTTTGTCTCCTCTCTTTTTTTCTGTCTCCTGTCTCCTTTTGTTTGCTTCATTTCGTTCTTCACCTGCACACCTCTGCTGCTGCTGCTGCTACAGCTTTTGCTGCTGGCGTTGTGTCTGTCGATTTGACTATCGTTGGTTCTCTGCCTTGACTGTTGCTGTTCATGCTCTTGCTGGTGTTGCTGCTGTTGCTGCTGCTGCTGCTGCTGCTGCTGCTTTTGCTTCGTCCTGCTCTTGCTGTGCTGCTGTATTTGCTGCTGCAGCACCGGTAGCAGCAGCAGCACCAGCAGCAGCAAGGTAATAGTTGTTTGTGTGTTTGTTTGTGTTTGTGCTGCTGCTAACAGTTCGATTAATCAGAGAACGGCTGAAGCTGCTGCAGGGGGCAAGCAGCACCTTAGGGCGCTCTGTCTCCTCTCCTGCATTGCCTCTGAGTAGCTGCTGCAGCAGGAAGCAGCAGCAGCAGCAGCAGCAGAACATCTCGTGCAGCAGGGGGCCCCTCCCTCCCGCTGCAACAGCAGCAACAGCAGCAACAGCAGCACGTCGCATGTCGATACAGCAGGACCTGCAGCTAAATAGGTCTCCGCAGCAGCAGCAACAGCAGCAGCAGCAGAGACCGCAGCAGCAGCTGCTGCTGCAGCACCTGGGCTCAGGCATTGACAGTGCGCTGCCGGTTGCTGCTGCTGGTGGCACACCTGCTGCTGCTGCTGCTGCTGTTGCTGTTGCTACTGAGGATCTGCTGCAGCTGCTGCCCTGGGAGAACCGTACAAACTTAGCTTCTGTTAGCGGTATATCAGACGGAGAGAGAGAGAGCAGCAGCAGAGGAGACAGCCTTCTGTCTAATCTCTCTTCTGCAACTGCTCCAGGTGCAGATACCCCCGTTCACGCCCTTTCGCAGCAGCAGCAGCAGCAGCAGCAGCAGCAGGAGGGCGAAGGGCTATCAACACCATCAGAGGCATACAGCAGCAGCGGCCCGCCAGCGACGCAGCAGCAGCACGAACTCCCCTTGGTGCAGCAAACGCGCACACCAACAGCAGCAGAAGCAGCAGCAGCAGAAGCAACAGCAGCAGCAATCGTAGCAGCAGCAGCAGCAAAAGGTAAAGCAGAAGCAACCACAGAGGCATTGCCTATGTTGGTGGCGGCAGTGCTGCAGAAAGAGCGGCCCGCAGCAGCAGCAACAGCAGCAGCAGCAGCAGCAGCAGCAGTGGAAGCACCAGTAACAGCAGAAGCAGAACAGCCGCATGTAGCAGCAGCAGCTGAAAGAGAGACCCAGGCAAACATACATTGCTCTGCCCATCAGCAGCAGCAACAGGAGGAGACACAGCAGCAGCAGCAGCAGCAGCAGCGTCCGCAGCACAGGGCCAAGCAGGGGCAGCAGCAGCAGCGCAAACAGCGAAAGCGCCAGCAGCACCACCAACAGAAGCAGCAGCAGCAACACCTGCAGCAGCAACGGCAGCAGCAGCAGCAGCATCCCCCCGTTGTAGAGGATCCTCAAGGAGGCCCCAGAAGCGTGGCACCAGCAGCAGCAGCAGCAGCAGAACGCGAAGTAGCAGCAAGAGACACAGCAGCAACAGGAGCAGCAGCAGCACCTACAGCAGCAGATAGGCATCGGGTTGGAGGCAAACAACGAGGCAGAGACAGCCTGCGTTGAGTGTAGTATCAGCTGCACCTAGCTAGCTAGCTAGGTGTGCAGCTAGCTAACTATACAGCTACCTAGCTAGCTGTGCAGCTACCTAGCTGTACCGCTAGCTAGCTGTGCACCTAACGCTGGCTGTACAGCTCGCAAGCTGCATAGGCAGCTAGCTAGCTATGCGACTAGATACATAACTTTGGAGCTAGCTGGCTAGCTAGCTATGCAGCTAGCTATGCAGCTAGCTAGCTATATATTTACGGCTAGTTAGCCGTACAAGAGTAGCTAGCTGCATGGGTGAAGGTGAGGGTTGGCTGGAAGGAGATAGAGAGGTGCGTCTCCTGCCTGAGCTGCCTATACACCTCACAGCTGTTTGCTGCATGCAAATGAAGCCTCAGCTGCAGCAGCTTCTGGGGCTTGTGATGTACAGACGCCATTTAATTAAATATCTTTATCTTTTCTTCTTTTGCTGCTCTTCTTCCTTCTGGCTCCTCTACCCCAACGCAACCCTTCGCCCCCAACGCACCACGCCCTGCAGCAGCAGCAGCAGCTGCTGCTCCTGCTGCTGCTGCTGCAAGAAACCAGGACCAGCAGCAGCAGCAGCAGCAGGGCCAGCAGCAAAAACAGCAACAGGACCAGCAGCAGCAGCAGGACCATTAGCAGCAGCAGCTGCAGCAGCAGCAGCAGGACCAGCAGCAGCAGCAGGACCATCAGCAGCTGCAGCAGCAGCAGCAGGACCAGCAGCAGCAGCAGGACCAGCAGCAGCAGCAGGACCAGCAGCAGCAGCGTCGGCGTTGGGTTTTTCTTGTCGCAGATACTGCGGGGCCTGTTGGGGTTTTTCTTGACGTCAGGCGATTGGCTAGGTTTGTCTCTTTCTCTTCCTACTAGCTAGCTAGCTGTCTTGCTAGCGAGCTAGCTAGCTCGTGCTATCTACGCAGCTAGCTGCCTAGCTAGCTGGCTAGCTAGCTAGCTAGCTAGCTAGCCACCCAGTGCGGTGGGGCGGAGCTTGCCACGGTGTACGATAGCGTAATGAGCGCAAGGCCCGTAGACGGCCGTTTGCAACTCGCTAGCTAGCTAGTTAGCTAGCTAGACAGCTATCCAGCTAGCTGGCTAGCTGACTCTCTGTAGAACCAGCTAGCTAGCTAGCTAGTTAGCTGGCTAGCTTGCAATCAGGCTAGCTAGAAATCTAGCTAGCCACCTAGCAAGCAACCAAGCAAGCTAGCTAGCTTGCTAGCTAGCTAGTTAGCTGGCTAGTTAGCTAGCTCGCTAACTAGCTAGCTAGCAGTTAGCTAGCTAGCTAGCTAGCTAGCCAGCTAGCCAAGCAATGGTGTCAATGTCGTTTGTTGGCGGCGAGGGATTGTCTGTCCCTTCGCCTTCGCATTCCACTGAACCTCCTCAGTCGCTTTAGCGCTTCGTTAACCTTGCGGGTTTAGGGTTTAGTAGGGTTTAGGGTTTAGTAGGGTTTAGGATTGAGTAGGGTTTAGGGTTTATTAGGGTTCAGGGTTTCGTAGGGGTTTAGTCGGCAACCTTGGGGGTTTAGGGTTTATTAGTTTAGGGTTTATTAGGTTTAGGGTTTAGTACGGCTTGGGGTTGGGTACGGTTTAGGGTTGAGTATGGTTTAGGGCTTAGTAGGGTTTAGGGTTTAGGAGGGTTTAGGTTTTAGTAGGGTTTAGGGTTTGCGTATTCATGCAGCTGCAGCAGCAAGAGAAAGGCTTAGTTCGTTGCTGTATATATTATTTACTTTTAAAAGCAATTAATAAAACACCGCATCTACACCTAAGCATAAAAACAGATATGCTAATGCTATATGAATATTCTATAAACCCTAAACCCTAAACCCCAAACGGTAATAAGCCCTGCTTGCACTTAACAGTAAACTCTAAACCCTAAACCCTAAACCTCAGCATTTGAAGCTTGAGCCTTAGACTACAATATCAAAAAGGTTAAACTCTAGGCCTCAACATCTATAGCGCAGCCTTTTAACCATAGCATATAAACCCTAAACCCTAAACCCTAATAAACCCCCTCTACCCCACCCCCCTCGATTGTGTGTTTGTAAGGCACTGCATGCGCTGCATTAAGACAAAAGAAAGGGAAAAGAAGACACAAAAAAACATCAAGATAATAAAAATAAATTAATTTTAACTCTTTTCTTTGTTTTGCTGCTACTGCTAAACAGAACAACAAACACAAAAATCACACCAACATTCCTGGCTTGCATGCATGGGTGTGTTGTCTTGTTTGTGCCTGTGTTTATTTGATTAAATAAATAAAAAGGAAATTAAAATTCATTAAAATTAAATTCAGTTGCACAAAAACAAAAATTATACGCATTTTTGAGGTGTATAGGCACCTCCGGCCTTGGTGTTGCTGCAGATTTTCTTTAGAGTGTTTGTTTATATCTTGCTGCATTTCTTCGTTTTTCTTCCATTATCTCCAATAAAAACAAATATATTTTATCTTTTTATGCATCAAGACACCAATTAATCCAAATTTAACTCACCATACACCCCAGCTGCCGGTACGCCCTAGCTGGCAGTACACCCCAGCTGCCTATACACCCCAGCTGCCTATACACCCCAGCTGACTATTGACCCCAATATGACGAACACAGCTACTGCAGCAGAAGAGGAGGCGAAACCCTCTGCGCCAGCCACCATGAAGGAGCAGCAGCAGGAGCAGCAGCAGGAGCAGCAGAAGGATAAGCCGCCGCAGCAGCAGGAGCAGCATCAGCAGCAGAAGGAAGAGGAAGAGGAGGAGGGAAGCGGGAAAGAAGATAATGACAACAGCGAAGAAGATGAAGAAGAAGCGAAGCTGCAGAACCTATCAAGTCCGTATCTGCACAGGGGCTGTTACTGTTTCTGCTGCTGCTGCTGCTGCTGCTGCTGCTGCTTATTTTGCTGCTTTTTCTGCGTGTGTTTGCCTCTGCCAGCGCAGTCGATGCTTTTGCGATATGTGTTTGTTTTTCTTTGTGAAGGGAAAACAGGGGATTAGGGTTTGGGGTTTAGGGTTTAGTCTTTTAGTCTTTTAGGGTTTAGGGTTTAGGAGGTATTGTTTGTCTTTATATCTATTTCTTTATTTATTTCTTTAGGGTATTTGTTTGCTTTATTTGCTGTTTGTTTGTTTTTGTTCATTTGTTTGTATGTTTTACTTTATTTGTCTGTTTGTTTTTGTTTATTTGTTTGTTTATTGTTTATTTTTTTAACTAATGTTTGTTTTATTTGTTTTGCTTATTTTTGTCTACTCTTTATTATTATTTACTTTAATTGCTGCATTTTTTATTTGTGTATTTGTTTATCGCCTTATTCATTTATTTCATTCATCTGTTTAATTAATTTATTAATTTACTTAATTACTTAATTACTTAATAAATTAATTAATTAATTAATTAATTAATTTATTTATTTGTTTATTTATTTATTTAATTTATTTAATTTAGGTTTGGAGTTATTTGCGGAGGGGAAGAAGAAAATGAAAGAAAAAAAATTTGAGGCTGCAGCAGACATTTTCTCGCGATGTTTACAAAAGAGGTGAGGAGACAGAAAGGAGATATTAATTAATTAATTAATTAATTAATTAATTTAATTTAATTAATTAATTTAAAGAAGAGATATATATTAATGAATTAG